TTTGCAATAAGAGTTACTATCTCGCTATTGCCATTTGTTAACTCATTTCTTTCAAACTCAAATAACATCTATTTTCAGCCAATTTTACTACCCCGATAATGATAATAACAACATTTGTAATGTGAGTAACAACATTTGTAATCAAATTAACCACTCTGGTCATGCCCATTGACAACTTCCGCCATCTCCCTTGGGGGAATTAAGCAAATGGTAAAAATGTGTTGACAAAATAGCATACAAGTACACCTGAAGAACATTATGATATGTTTATATTAACATTCAGACTTTACTACATGTATAATGGAATTGACTACTGAAGTGATAATATTTACCAAAAACCAGTACGCCTATGACAGAAGTTACATAACTTGTATTCAAATGACAAGTTAACATTAAGATTAAACCACCACCTAATGTTTCCTTGTCATTCAGATTACAAACATATCCTACCCAGTTAACATCATTTACAAAAAGATAACCTCTCTATCAACTATTCTCCCAAAAAATTAAGGGTTCAAAAGTTATTCTATTTACACCAAAAAAATTACTCCTCAATGTTAGACCCAATGTCAGATGTCATCAAAGCCTGCTAACCTGCAACAAAGAAGCATAAATCAATATTTTAGTTACCCAATAATCAATTTCATTTATCTTTCGAAACACCCAAAAAATACACACACCCACTTACTCCATTGACAACTTAAATATAGGATTTTACAATTTCAGTAATGAATTTAACAACACTGACCACCTCGTGCTTATTGTTTGTCGTCACCATTTTTCCATTTACGACGCGTCACTCTCTCGTCCTGGTCAAATTATTCATCCAAACTCTCTACACTCACAGACCCATCCCCATTCGAGCATGCAGCAACAAAGAAATCGGGTGATACTAGCGTTTTAACAGAAAAATTGCTTACCTTTTCCCTCTTTCCAGATTTCCACCCTTGCTCTAGCTTCGTCTTCTCAACCTCTCTCTCTTCTGGTATATTATTGTTTTCTTTACAGTTCATATCTTCAGAGAAGTTGAGGATATTTTAGTCTTTCTACCGAATTGACAAAATTCCAGATTGATACCCCATACCCATTTGGTCATTTCAGTTACTTGTATACCCATTTTGTCATTTCAAATTTCAACCGTCATTTTTCTGTCATTTTCCCTATTGTAAATGCCAGTTGGAGGCCGCATTAAAAATTATACAAATTAAAAGGGCTCACCAAAAAAGCGAAGCAAATTATAAGAATAAAATGGATACTCTTTTTGTTTAAAAAAAAAAGGGCAAAGATGTATCTTTGATCTTCTAATTTTGTACAAGGTTTTAATTGATCTCTTAATTTCATAAAGCATTCTTTTAGTTCTTTAACATTAATACTATTAGTCTTCAATAATGATTTTTGTGTCAATCTTTCTTATTTTAAACAGTAAACTTATTTTACCAAAAAAAAATAATAAAATTAATATATCACCATTTGTTAATGTTTTTATCAACATTTAAAATTTTAATGTTAGTATTTTTTTTATTAACGAAACTAACAGTATTTGTATTATTAAAATAGACATTTTATAAAATCGAGAAACTAAAATAAAATTTTATATAAAATTAAAAGACTAAATATAACTTTGGTCTGAAAAATAATAAATGGATACTTTCTAAGCCTACGTCACAAAGTATAAGAACTATTTTTAAAGTATATATGTATACATATAGTCCTAATACATTATGTACGCATCTTTTATAATGATTCAAAGCCCTACACTTGTGTAGCAAACTATCAACATTGGAAAAATTGGAAAAGGTATTGAACAACAAGAAAGAAATTATAAAGCAATAAGCAAGGCATGATCTAAAGCATTTACAGAGTTCTATGACAAAGAATGAAGAACAAAATATTTACAAAATAGAAAAAGGAAACCAAGAAATTTGGACAAAGTAAACTAAAAAAAAAAAAAGGTCAAAGACCTACCTTTACAAACTTTTTAGTAATGAATAGTGAATGACTAGACTTATTTGGATTCAGCATGTTTATATAAGTGGAAATAAAACTCTTTTCACATACTTATCTCATATTTCATAAATAATGATGCAAAAACTACTTATATACTATTCCTAAACTATTCCAAACAAGTCCTAAAGATATAAGAGAGAAGCCCTTTGGTGAAGGTGGATATATCCCCCAAACCAACTTCTCCACCGGAAAATGATGAAAAAAGCAACATTTTGTTTAAATGTCATGTTTGGAGTGGCGTTGGCAGTAAATGGGCTTATGTCTAAAAAGAACTTTTTTTCCAAAAGCTCAAATTCATTACGTCTTAGGGTGTGTTTGGATTAGAGGTGGAGAAATAGCTTTTTTTCAATCTGATTTTTCCAGAAGTCAGATTGAGTAAAAGTCAGATAGCGTAATGTGATTTATGTTTGAATTGGGTTTTAGAAAAAAGTCAGTTTGAGAAGCTGAAACTTGTTTGGATAATAAATGTAAAAGTAAGTTTGAATGTAAAATGACTTAAAAGGACATTAATTCTATTAAATAGCACATATCTAATATTAGATATTTAATTATTAAAAGTAAAGAAGTAAGGAAAATAAAAATTATTAAAAGTAAATAAATTTAATTTAGTATTATAAAGAAATTATATATATAATGTGACTATTTGTCATAAATAAAGTAATGAAAATAAAATTATTAAAAATAAAAAAAATTAAGTTATTACTAGAAGGAAATTGAAAAATAATAAAATACTTAATTAAATATATGTAATGGATAAATATGTAAATTAGAGGTCATACATACGTAGCATTTTTAAACTAAATACATCAAACAACTAATCGGATGCCATGCTCAATACAATTTGGTCTCTGATTGTGTCACGCACATGATTCATTTGTCTTGATCTAGGTAAATTTGAAGAGGATGTCTCACCAGCTTCATCATGATTGTTTTCGTCAATTGTACCTTCGGATTGAGCTTCTATGAAATCTTTATCAGTTTCAGAATTACTTCGAAGGAAATTATGTATAGCCATTGTAGCACAAACTACTTGGACTTGAGTTTTATACTTGTAACTTGGCATCTTGTCTAAGATGCGAAACTTATTCTTCCACACCCCAAAAGTCCTTTCTATAGTGCACCTCAAACTTGAATGGTAGTAATTGAAGACTTCGTTACAATTTTCAAATCCCGGTTGTCGCCTGAAGTCTGGAAGGTGATAGCGCTCACATCTGTACGGACCAAGATATCCTGGTGGAGTTGGATAGCCAGCATCGACCAAATAATACTTCCCTAATAAATCATGAAATTATGTTGACATTGTGAAATTAATGAAAATATCAAATGAATTTGATATAATTAAAATTGAAGCTACTGAAAATATACCTAGAGGTGGATGAGGGAAATCCAAGGCTGGAGTTGAGACAGCAATGTTAAACACACGAGCATCATGTGCAGTACCTTCCCATCCCGCTAACACAAAAGTGAAGCACATGTCCCAGTCACATACAGCCATGACATTTTGTGTCGGATATCCCTTTCTCCCGATATATTTGTCTTACTTCGAAAGACTCACCACACATCGTACATAAGTGCCATCAATTGCTCCTATTGCATCATTGAAATATGGCGAATATCGTTTATCGTTTTTTATTTTTGGGTGAGTTACAGAAAACATAGCATCGAGTGGTTTGATATATTCCCTGGATAGACTAAGGCAAGCTTGTAATACTCTATGAAAATGCCTGCTTACAATTTCTCCTGAATGTTGAAACCTTTCTTGAATCATCCTATTACACTGTCCATGACCAACAGTGTTTAAAAACATACCAACAATTTCTTCCACTCCCAGATACTTAGAATTTTGTAAACCATGTTCGACCAGTTTAGAGCATAATCGCATGAACATTTCTTTTTCCATTCGAAACATGTCATAACACCGAATTTCATGATCTCGCAAAATTTCTTGCACCCATAAATTACCTGTTTGCTGACTAGTTCTTCGTGGCTCTTTGCACACATAAGGCATCACATATTGACTCACCAATATAGCTACCTCTTCATATTGTGTTATCTCTTCATCTAAAAAGGAAATCAATTGAGATTGTTCATCTTCCTCCGACTCCTCTTCAGACTGTTCATCTTCCTCCATCCACTCAAACGTAAATTGATTGTTCTAATTTGCCATAGATAATGTCATCTATGAGTGTGGCTAAATTCAACTGTAAGAATTTTTTTAAACGACAAATAAATATTTTTAGGTATGTGCAAATAAATATTTCTTTCTGTTAAACATGCAAAGACATAAAAATTAGTCTAAAAACATTCATACGTTGCAATTACCATTATAAATAACACATGTAACTTAAAAACATTCAAAACATTCATAGTCAATCAACAAGTTACATAATTTCATAGTTCCACAAACATTAACTTAAAAACATATAATAACAACTCTGGTCCGAATTAGACAAAATAAAGTCATAACATGCGTCCTAAAATATAGTTCAAGCAGGCGGGGGTTTCAGCCATGATGGTGGATTGTATGCCATATCCTGTATCCATGCAACCAAGTATTCCGGCTGTCCTTTTAGTGAAACAACCATTTCCCGAACACTCTTGTGCAATAGAAGTCTTAAGCACCAGTTCTGGAAATCAGAGTTACTTGTAATTTCCTCAAGGCAGAGCACTTCGGCCGTAACCTCAGAAATTGATACCTCTTTTATTTTCTTTAGAGCTGCAGCTCTATCCTTAGATGCAGTAGCTATTTCACTAACTGAATCCGCTATTTGTCTTGAAGCTGGAAGCTTTTGCTTTGTTTGCCTGCTAGACCCTTCACCTCTCTTCCTCTTCCCATGGCTTCCTGAACCACTAGGTGCAGTATTTGCTGTTAAGTTGACGCCTGCCATCTCATCTATAACTCCTATACTAGCACCTCCAAGATCTTCTTCGCTATCCCCCGATCCTTCAAAGAGATCTGTATCAACTCTGTACACATTCTCTTCATCATCCTCTTATGTCTGAGGTTGGGTTAAAGATGGTGCTAACATATCCTCTCCAGATGCTATCACACCCTTGAATATCGTGTTTAATTCATGAGCAAACTTTAACTCCTGGTACCTAAACTTTTCATACTGGGAATTCTCCTGTAAGAATACAATCAACAAAAATAAAAAGCCTATAACAAGTAATAACACAGTTTATAACTCAAGATCAACAATTATATACCAATTTTTTCTTCTCCCACCACTCATTTGTTGCCACCACTGTATTGTTTATAAGGTCCTAACCTACACCAGTCTCTTTGGTTAAATCAACCCATGTCCTCCAATCCTTAATCAAGCTATCGAGCCTATTTTTCAATTGCTTCTTCTCATATGATTTTCCTGTTTTTGCATTGAATGCAGAGTGAATGTTGTTCCACCCAGGCTTTGAAAATGATGTTCCTTGACGATTTTTCTGGTAGATTTGCTCCATGCATTCTTTAAGTAACACCTCTGTGGTGCTTGTATCCCATGTTGCCTTACTTTTTTCTTTGTTCATAATTCTATTAAAAAATGTCAATCAAGAATGCAAAAGGGATTTACAGTGAACCAGAGCACTTTTCTTCCAACAATGCAGAAATATTATGCTTCTTTTGTAAATAAATATGAGAGGAAATATCTAATATATATAATATTTATAAATTATAATCTCAAAATCATATATATTTAGGTTTGTAAAACATACTTATCAACAATAAGCATTATTGATGAATATATACGCCACTTTTTACAAACACCGATTTTCAGATTTTCAAACTAAAAAACGTATACTTTTCGAAGCTTGTGGCAAATAATTAACAGCAAAGGGGTAGTCAGTTTGCCAGAACCACAAGTCATAAATAGAAACATAGAACTACAAATAAATAGAAACACAAATCTTCAAATTTTCAAACTAAAATGCGCCTACGAGTCTGACCTTGTCGCAAATAACTAACAGGAAAGACAGACTAAACACAACCAAAAAACCACATAAATCATACTACCAGGTCAGTTCTTCCTGCTACGCTACTACCAAGTTCGACAGCCAGGCCACACTAATCGAAAGAACATCAGATTAATAGCAAGAACATCATATCAACACTCCTATAACAACCATGGGTAGAATGTTTTCAATGGGTCCGACGGCAGCCAAGAACAATCGAAGACAACCAGATCTGGGACCAAAATCGCGTATCTCTTACCAAGTGAACGAAGGAGACTCTGAGCAGTGTGGATTTGGAGCAGATGCGATATGGCGGCAGTGAAAACGGACGGCGACACTTGCAACCGAACAGAGGAAGAAGATGAACGGCGATGGTATTTGAAGGATCTGAACAAACGACCACAGTCTAGCCACTCCCACACAACAACCACAACTGATGAGACGGCAAGACAAAGCGAAGACACAGCAAGACACGACAGAGACAACAGATGGCGACGCTAGAAGAACTGAACGAACAAAGGAAAGAACTGATGAGACGTTGGAAGAATTGAACGACCGACCACACTAGAACCTGAACTGTTGAGACGGCGGGAGACGGCGGGCGCACGGCAAGGATATGGCAGCAGATGTTGGGAGGAGTTTAGCTTCAGAGCGTCATGTGGCTTCTGAGTGCGTGTGTGCGTCTTATTTTTTGTCTTTGAGCTGAAGTGAAGTGAGAGAAAATACATGCAGAGGGTTAGTTAGGTAAAAAAATTAAACACACTCCAACGGTTTCTCAACCTCAGCTACGCATTCGGAAAAAAAGCTCCTTGTATGAGCTTCTCCCATAAGCCCATTTGAGGCTCACAAGTCAGATAAGATAATCGCAGATCCAAACACCCAAAATCACAATCACCCCAAAAGTCAGATTGGGACGCACGTTTGGGGGCCCAAACGTGATCCCAAACGGACTCTTACTTCTCCATAGCAAGTTTGGATAGGTGGGGTCCATGAGTGAGGGAGGAGAGAGAATACTTTATGCATGATGTGCGTTTTTTTTTTTTTATCCTAGCCACTTGAGGTGGTTCTTAATATTATCTCCAGTCCTTAATATAAGACTTTGTTTAATTTTTATTTTGATCCTAAATATAAGACCCCAATCCACTTTGTTTCTTGTGATTTATATATATAATTTCTTTATAACAATAAATTAAATTTCCTTATTTTTATTACTTCATTTAAAATGGTCACATTATATATATAATTTCTTTCTAATAATAAATTAAATTTATTTACTTTTAATAATTTTTATTTTCCTTACTTTTTAAAAAATAGTCACATTATATATATCTAATATTAGATATGTACTATTTAAAAAAATTCATGTCCTTTTAAATAATTTTATATTCAAACTTACTTTTACATTTATCATCCAAACAAATTTCAACTTCTTAAACTGACTTTTTTTAAAAACCCAATCTAAATATAAATCACATTACCGTATCTGACTTCTATGTAGAAGTCAGATTGAAAAAAAGTTACTTCTACCACCGCTATCCCAAATACACCCAAGCTGATGAGAGAGAAGCTGCAAAGGTGTGGTGCTAGAGACGGTGAAGAAATTCTTATATATAAATATATATATATATATATATATATATATTGTTAATACAATCTTCTTCAAATTTACACGAATTTTGGAAGGGAAAATTTCAACTAAGGACTATAGTTGGCAATTAATTTCAGACAGTCTTCCAAAAAAATCTAAAATTTTACTGAAGGGCCCAAGGGGTAAATTGAAATTAATTGCACAACCCATTTTACAAAAATACCCTGTGAACTGTTATCTATTGAAAAGGAAGAAGAAAGAGGGAAAAAAAGAGAGCTTCGTGTGTGAGGTGAACTATTTTTTCTAAAATATTTTTTCTGTTGAGCTGACTTGTTGAGCACAGGTGGGTTGTGATAGTTGAATAATATAGAAATAAGTGTTTAAATACATGGGCAAGGAGGTAGTGAGGGAGAAAAAAAATATGATATAGCTTTTAAGTTTAGAGAGGAATTGTTATCTTCTTCATTTTTAGAGAGAGATTGTTATCTTCTTCTTCCTTGAAATTAATAAACATGAGGTGTTAGTGATTTCTGAAAAGTGGGGAAGAATGGGTGAACACTAACCGTAATACGTTGTTAAAGGAACTTAGGGAGGGAGAAATGAAAGAGAATAGGTGAATGTGCTAAAATGGGTGATGTGCTGAAAAATGATAACTGGCAGTTGTGAAAATATGTATTCAGATTGTAAATTTGCAAATTAGAGTTATGCAAGAAAATAGCAATTTAATGTTATGGAAACAAGTATTTCTGTTGTAAAACCGCAAATTTCTATTGTTAACGTATACTATCTATTATTATTGAAAGTTGATTGAAATTGATAGTTGAATGATATGCAACAACAGACTGTAAATGGCTACTGGTGGTGGGAAACAATTGTGCAGGTTCTTATGGGCAAGAAGCAAGAGGGGAGGACCAATTTTCTTGTCTCTCTTGGGAACATCATACTTGCCTCTCAAAAACATGTGGTGGCGGGAATTTACGTAACGGTAAATTGTGGAATCAAGCTGTCGTAGCAAAGCTTTTATGGGCTCCTAGAGAAAAAAGAAGAAGATGTGTGTGTGTGTGTGTGAATAATGTTTATCGAAAAGGAAGAATAAGTGGTCCTACATCGCTCCCTCTAACGTGAGTCGGTATTGGAGGAAACTGATGAATTTGAGAACCAAATTTGTGCAAGGTTACCAGAATGGTAATTGGATTGCAAATCCTCATGGCAAATATACACAGTAACAGCAGGTTATAAAAAGTTTATTGAAGCCCTTTTTGCGTGGGGGCCAAAACATTCATTCCTTACGTGTCTTATCTCAAAGAACACATGCAAGGAATGTATTGGTTTTCTTTAATTGTAAGGTGTAATAATGAATATGAGTCTATGAATCAACTATTTTTTGCTTGCAAGTGATCCGAAGAGTTATTAAATGATGTTATGGGTGGATTAATTATAGATCTGTGATTAGGAAGCCTAAAAGTTGGAAATAGAATTGTTTGTATTCTTTCCTAGCCTAATAGGGCCAAGAGAAATGTACTGTTTTGCTGAGGTTACTGTTATGGTTACCATCAATATAGAATGTTCCAAAATGCCTTTTCTTCTCAATTGCATATTATGGCAAGTATAAAGGCTGAGGTGTGTGTTTGAGTTGGGTCTTGTCCTCCCAATATTGTGTACATTCCCTAATGCTTGATTTTTTTTTGTATATGCTGTATTTGTTTTGCCATAGTAGACGTTTTGATATGAATATTTAGGAGCCCTTCTAAGAATGTAAAGGAAAACCAAGAACATAAGTGTTTGGATAAAACCAAGCCATGGTTTGAAAAATAGCTTCTGGAAAATAAATTCTGAGGAGAATAGATTCTGAGAAGTGAAAGTGTTTGGATGGTTGTTATCAGAAGCACTTTTTATATATACAAATTACCAAAAAAAAGCATAAATTAATATGATAATTACATAAAAAATAGATTTTATGATATATTTTAATTTGAAGGAATAAAATTGTTAATAATATATTTTTTACCAACATAATTAATAACACATGAGATAATATAATTAATAAATAATTAGTGTGTATATATATTTATAAGATATAAGATTAAATGTTTATAAAAAAAATAATTGAGGGGTGTTAAAGTCATATTATTATTGAGATCTACTCTGACAGATACAATCATATTCTCCAATTTGAACTAGAAGCAGAATGGATTCACTTCTCCTGAAATCATGATTTTGGGCTCCAAAACAATGGTTTCGAATTATTGTTCCAAAACTGATACTGTTGGGGTGACATCCCATCCAAACTATGGTTTTGTCTCTCAAATCATGATTTTTGAGGGCATCCAAACAGGCCCTAAGAAGGTTATTAAGATTTACTAGTGAATGGTATATGGAAGATTTGGTTGTAGATAAAGTGTACCAATATCATGCAGTCCTCATAACACTCCTTTCTTAGTGGTATAAAGCTTGTTATTATTGTGTCTTCTGTTTTAGAATAAATTACTCTTACTCTCTTTTAAAAATCACTTAAATTGTTAATAATATTGTAAAAGGAAATTTCCTAACATACATTACCATGAGAATGTACTCTTTTTTTTTTTTTGTTGATATTATCATATGATATTCAATGCTTTTTCTTGATTATAATAACAGGTATCCAAGTAACGGACTAATCCAATTCAGGTTTCATGGCTTTTGCTCCTTATGAAAGTATCTCTTTTGGGTCTCAAATTACAAGACTTCACACCGCTAAACCAATTCTTTGTTAAATGTACTGTATTTAATGATCAAAATAGCGACGTACCCTTCATAATAATGCTTTCCATTAAAATGTTGATATTAATAAATTTTCAAAATTTTATTTCAATGTCATACGTTAAGTATTAAAAATGACATTTATTTCTCTAATTAAAATATCTGTCTCTTGAGTTTCTTGGAC